GGGGCCATGCTAATCTTCTCTGTATCGTTCCAATTTTATCGGATGTCCCCGAAGGGACGATTGTAGATGGTGAACTCCCATATATGAAGCAACCAGAAGTTGTTCTTCTAGTCGGTGTGGGTTGAGATGACTTCAAATCCAACTCAATTCACTATTTATGATTCAGCAGTCAAATCAAACGTCTCAAAAATGAATAACTTTTTGTTTTTCAATTAAATCAACAAATTATTAACCTACTGTTTTTTTATTAAACAAACAAAATTAGTTTTTTTTTATGCTTTAAATAATCTATTTTATGATTAAATAAAAAGAGTAATATTTTGTCCCTAAATAAATGTGAACAATCTTTATTTCAAATGACATGAAAATTAGTTTTAAAGTATTGATTGTAAAACCCCTATCGTATCTTAAATACGTAATTATTGTTTTATAGGCGACGTTTGCTCGATTAAGTCATGAAATCCTAATCCATATGGTGAAAATATTATAGTAACGTGTTATCAACGAAGTAAAATATTTCAGTAATTAGATTAAATAAGTTCAAATGCATACTATCAATTCTTGATTTAATTTTAAATACCGAAAAACAATTTTAAATTCTTAAAAAGTAAATTGCAATTTTGTTTCTATTGTTCGTGGGTTTGTTTTACGCTTATTATTTTAAAGAATCCAGTGATTGATGTTTACTCCACCAAAAACTTCCGAGACAAAAACCCATGTAATATGATTGCACTAACATCCAATCGAGTGACTATCCAACTCAATCTGAAAATAAGTATTTTGTTAAAACTTAATGGAGACCTAATTACGTTTTAAATGTTCTCAGTAAAATCTTTTATTGGTATTGTAAAAGTGATCAACGTAAGACAACATCAAAGTAGGAGAGTCCTATAATTATTAAATTTAATTAAAAGAAATTTTGTTGATATTTTATGTAGTTAAAGTACTAAGAACTAGCCACTAACCATATTAGATAGTTCGAGATGTACAAGGCCAAGCTTTTTTAGACCGGGCTTGCCCCCCAAATTTGCTCCTGATCAGGCTTTGAGCCTCACTATCGTAGAAAAAAGAAAGAGAGGGAAATGGAGGGGAGTATAAAAAATCGTCTTCAGTAAACTTTTTTAGGAGAAAAAATGAAAGGAAACAAAAGAAAAATAATGATAGATTTCCTCCCAAATGTGGGAAGAAAGAGAAAGAAATTAAAACTTTTTAGAGAATTATTAGAATTATAAAACTATCCAAATCTTTCCATATTTTAAAGGATATATTAATAAAAATGACATATTTTTCTTTCTTTTACTCTACTTCAAGAATACGGATGTTTTTCCCTTTTCTTCCATTTGGAGAAGGGAAAGTTCAAAAAAAACCAACTTTCTCGTTTTTAGATGGTTTAGTCCCTAAACCTTTATTGATTCAAAAAAATTATTAAATTTTCTTATTTTGAATGATTAAGTACCTGAACTATTTTTTTAAATGAAAAATATTAAACTTTCTCATTTTGATTAAATAAGCCCCTGAACATTTTTTTAACAAATAAATCATCGTTTTTTTTTTAAATTAGTTACCTATATCATTTAAATCCAAAAAAAGTTACATGTAACCAACTAGTAAAAGTTTCACGGTTTATTTATTAAACTTTTTTTTCCAGGGTCTTTAATCATCCAAAATTAAAAAGTTTAATAGTTTTTCATTTGAAAAATAGTTCAAAGACTTAAAACATTCTGAATGAAAAAGTTTAATAATTTTCTCATTAAAAAAAAATTAGAGATTAAACCGTTCATAATGAAATAATTTGTTTGGGTTCAAGAATACAAATAAAAAATTCGTTCTCTTCCTTTCTTTTCCTTTTATTTCTTTTCTTGAATTTTATTTTCCTTTTATTTCTTTGCTCTCCAAATTTAAGAACACAGCGTAAGCCTCGGCTTTTTTGGGCCAGACTTGGGCTTTATTGTATACCTCTA